TGTACAAAAGCCTCCATTCTATTATTTATCCACGTATAATTTTCCAATTGGCCAGTTGCTGTCGTGAGCGTCCGAGCGAGTCTTGTTTCTAATTAGACTCTCATTAACAATTATGCAAAATTGTTGCAAATCAAGAAAACGTTAATAATTTTGCAATATTAAGTTGTTTTTAATTCGATACAAAACTTGCATAAATGATCTCCTGACATGGAAGAGGAAATACATACGAAGTGTTTTGTGTGTGCGTACTGGGTATATTCTGTTAATTTTTGCAAATTATTGTGAAAATTATGAAGTTGTTATAAAAACTTTGTGAGGGGGATTAAAAGAGAATTAAATTTTGCAGGAAATTGTCTTGAAAGGTTTTGATGCTACTTGCTCATGCTAAGGTACTTTGAAGTAAAATATGTATACCCTGAGTTTGATCACATAGAACATTTTTTTACTTTTTCTAAATTTTGCAAAAACTATGATTTTGGTCAAACTGTCACATATGCTATTGATAGCTGACTAAATTCTACACAATTTTTTTATACACTGTTTTAGTGTGAAATTTTACCTTGTAAAAATACAGTGCCGTAAATAGTAATGCACTTGTTAATAGTAGAAGTATATACATAAATATAATTTTCAAGAAAGTTCAAGACACTGTTAGAACATTGATTCTGCTGAAAATAATATGAGACAAAATTGAATTGTATAAAATTTTGCATAAGGCACTCCTAAACAACTCCCAAAATTTTGCAAACACCTTTTTCATAAAAAAATATGTCACAGTCTTAAATTTTAATTTTACAAAAAATGTATGAGACAAATATTAGAGCGTATAAAATTCTACACAAATTATTTTTTGACACGTTTTTGACACACATAAATTTATAACATAAAACCACTTTTTTTACACTTCCTACCAATTTTTACCTCAAGTTGCTAAATTAAAAATGTAATAAATTTCAAAAACAAAATATATATCCTACATAACTTGTTTTATTTTTCTGGGTCCCTTATCCGGCCCTGTGTTGGTCATTTTTTTATATTTTACGGTTTGAAAGTGATTTTCTACGCGGGTGCGTGGGAACATGAAGCGCCGTTCGAAAACGCAAAATTAATATTGATATCGATTTAGATTTTTTATCGATATTATCTTTTGATTCGATTTATTTTTACATTTGTATCGAAAACCGCACTTGTACGTTTTCAAGCTACCGGAGGAAATTTATACATACACACAGATATATATATATATATATATATATATACTAGATGACCCGACAGACGTTGTTCTGTACTACAATTCTACACTTTCTTCGGCACATTACAGCTGCCTTTCGGCATTAATAATGTAGACATTACATTTTTCTTGTATATTACATTCCAATATTATCTAGGCTCATAATGTCAGCTAAATTCAAATTTCAAGTGAATTGACATTTCTAGTAGGTGACAGTTCAAATGTTTTCAATGTCAAACAATGATATTGTATTTTTTTGTAATTTTTCCCATTTATTTTTACAACATTAGTATAGTTTTATCGTTCATTAAATCTTAAAAACTTCCTTTGACAAACTCTGAAAAGATTTATCCAAATCCGAATAACCGTTTAGGAGAAGTATCAAATCATACACCCGTGCAGAAGAATTTTATAATATATTATTAATGAGATATATATCTATATCTACGTTTTAAAACCTTCTGAACATTTTGGCATACCCTTGGAAAAAATGGATGTGTGTGAAGTGCGTGTGTGTGTGAGTGTGTGTGTGCATAGATTTCGAGAACACGGATCAACCGATTTGAATGATTCAAAAAACATTCGTATCCTATTGATAAGGAGACGTTTCAATTAGGTTTTTGGCATAGGCAGTTTAGAAGACGTGGGGTAAAAAGTGCCAAGAATGGAAATTCAGTTTTTGAGAGAACCGATTTGCATGTTTCAAATACAGATGCTTCACTTTAGTATATTGTCTATAACTTTTGAACCATTCGATTAATATGAATGATGTATTCGACAAATTTCTTTAAAATTAAATTATCTACAACATTGTCTAACAACACAAGACTCTACAGCAACTCGGTATATTCATAAATGACGATAGAAAATAATAAATATTTCAAGTGATCCTTAACCTTGCGGACCATCAAGAAGTAATATCCTGAAACTTACGCAAAAATATTTCACAATTTCATGCATTGTCGATTTCGGTGTGAAAAATAATTTCACACAATATAAATATACCAATATACATTTATATATAAATATATAAATAAATATATATATATATATATATATATATATATATATATATATATATATACCTATATAAATATATAAATGCCAATATTTATTTAGACCGCAAAAAATATGAATTTTAATGAATTTCTGGAGAAATTATTTGCGGTTGCATAAAATGATGTGAGAAAATAAATATATATAGTAGAACCCTGTTAAGACGTACATTCATAATACGATTTCCCGCTTAATACGCCACTTGACGCCGATTTCTAGAGTAATTCGTTATACTCTTAAATCAATATAGAAGTAAAAAGTGCTTTTTTATATCTTCTGTAACATTTGATACATTCGATTAATATGAATGATGTATTTGGCAAATTCGTTTAAAATTAAATAATCAACAGCTTTTTATATTAATGTAGGTCTCTAAAGCAACTCGGTATACTCTAAAGCTGTATTCAAAGTAGGAATATAATTTAATATGAGCGCGCTCATATAGAGTTCAGATCAATAATCGTCATCTTTTATGTATCTCTTGTAACTTGTATGTATCTCATGTAACTTGTATGTATCTCATCATTTATGTATCTCTTGTAACTTTTAAACCTTTCGATTAATATTAATGATGTATTTAGAAAATTTATTCCTAATTAAATAATCAATATCGGTTTCTAACAACAAGTGTCCCTAGAATAACTTGGTATACTTTAAAATCGCATTTGAAAATCGTACTAGAGCGCTTGACGATTGAGCCACATTTGTTTTTGTGTCTTTATTTATAATATCTCTTGTAACTTTTAAACTAATCGATTAATATGAATGATGTGTATAAAAATATTGTTAAAAATTGAATGATTCAGAATGCAGTCTAATATTGTAATGCCATACAGCAACTCGATTTACTCTAAAAGTCTTTTAATTGTAAGAAAACTGCAATTTGTTTTATTTTACTCTAGCTTTGTAACTGTCACTTGTAACTTTTAATAATAATGTAATACGATTAATATGAATGATGTATTCAAGGAAGTTGTTCCAAAATAAATAATCTACGATATAAATCTCTACAGCAACTCGGCGTACTTTAAAATAGCTTTAAACTGCAAAATGATGTTAAAATTATATGATTCAGTTTGACAGATTATTATTTTTAACTAATGCATCCATGTTTTGCCTTACTCTACTAAATTATTTCGGAATACAAAAAAAAATTACTCATTCAAAAAATTATTTAGAAGTTTGATTGTGTCTATAATATAGAATTTAGTTAGCTGATCGTAGATTGAATAGTGCACATATGAACAGGAGTAACATCACAAACTTGGTTAGATTATATGATTAATTCGTTATTTGCCAATAAGCAAAATACATATAAATGATAAAACGTATATATATATATATATATATATATATAATTATAGAGGAACGTTAAGTAGCTATTAAGTAATTCTACAAGTTGTCCGACTCTAACGAGAATATGCTAAGAAACTAGTTTCATCTTTTTTTTTCAATCTTATTTATCCTCTTTTGTTACAAACACATATATAAATATATACATACACAATATATACACGTATATATATATATATATATATATAATATATATATATATATATATTATAGTATAAAAAAACACCTTGCACAGAAAGGTTTTTATAGCCAGATGATATGTAACTCTGGTGCGTCGTTTTGTTCTAAAATGTGTAACTTTTAAACCATTCGATTAATATTAATGATGTATTTGTGAAATTTGTACAAAATTAAATAATCCACAATATTGTCTAATATTATAAAACTCCACAACAACTCGGTATACTTGAAAATCCAATAGATATAGTTGAATGTAATATGGTCAAGAAAAAATGTACTTCTTGCTTTAAATCTTTGATAACTTTTGAACCATTCGATTAATATGAATGATTTATTTGAGAAATTTGTACAAAATTATATTATCTACAATAATGTCTAATATTATAAAGCTTTACAACAACTCGGTATACTTTAAAATGCAATGGATATAGTTGAAGATAATAAGTTTAAGCAAAGTTTTTCTTGTATTAAAATTGCTGATAACTTTTAAGCCATTCGATTAATATTAATGAAGAATTCGGGAAATTTGTACAAAATTAAATTGTCTGAAATATTGTCTAATATTATAAGACCCTACAACATCTCGGTATACTCTAAATTGCAGTAAATATAGCTGAACACATGATAAAGCAAAAATCTTCTTTTTTATTACAACTTTTGTTTTTTTTTTCAATAAAAGGCCGTAATGTCTTCAAAAATTATTTACAATACTAAATTACCTATAATTTGTTCTAATATTTTAATACCCTATAGCAACTCGGTATACTTCAAAAACGCTTTTGAAAATCGTGTACTGTACTTAGATTGCTTATACGTGGTGCCTTGTTATTTATTGTGCATTTATTTGTTAAATCTCTTGTAACTTTTAAACCATTCGATTAATATGAATGAAGAGAAATGTGTTCCGAAATAAATAATCTAGAAGATTATCTAACATCAAAATATTTTACAGCAACTCGGTATACTCTAAAATAGCACTTGAAAATATTCTAATGTGCTCTAGTGCGAACTTGCAATGCTTCATTGCATTTATTTGCTAAATCTATTGTAACTTGTTAACCATTCGATTAATATGAATGATGTATCAAAGAAATTTGTTAAGAAATAAATAATCTAAAAGATTATTATTATAACATAATTAAAATGATATAAATAAATAAAATAAATAAAATCTTCCTACCTTGACTATTCTCCGCAGCGTTTTCGTCAAACGTCTTGCTCGTCATCTGAAAAAGCGCATCCAGTGGCGTCCCTTTCTGGTCCTGGTTGCTCCCACTCTGTCCAGGATGCCCTGCACCCTTCCCATCGCCTTTGCCATCATCCTTCCCTTTGGCACCAGACAACTTCTGGCCTAATTCAGGACTACAACATTCATTAGAATTCACAGAACTTGATCTATCACTGCCAGTCTCTGAATTTATTTGACCAGGTGCTATTGAGAAGTTGCCAAAACCTAGTCCTGATAAACCTGGTAGACCAGGGATGACGGGAAAGTCTAAACTTTGGCCAGCTGCGTACTGCTGGTTTAGCCTGAGAAGTTGATACTGTTGCTGCAACAGCATTTGTTGTTGGATCTCGAAAGGATTTAGTCTAAATTGTTGGTGTGGTGAGAATTGTGGTGGAAATTGTTGGAAGTTTGTGGTTTGCTGCTGGTAAACTTTGGCAGCCAAGTTTAATTCGAACTGCTTGTTCTTCACATGCTCCGTCAACTGCGTTTTGAAATGCTGGTGCAACCTTTCGAGATCCGTGTTGGTCCCTTGAGCATTGCTCAACTGATCCAAATCCCAAGGCCTTACAATCTTAACCTGCGACGACTTATTACCAGTATCACTTTTACCTAAAATGTTTTCTATGGAAAAAGATTTGGCTGTACTTTCAATCTGTGCTTGCGTCTTGATCTCTTCTTGCAGTTGCTCATCCTCGTCCTCCGACGCCAACCTCTGATCAAAATCCTTCTCCAGATGTATCATCTTCAGCCTTTTCAAAGGCTTGAAGTACTCCTCCTGCTGCTTCGGCGCCGTTTTCAGCTTCCTAGAATGCGATTCTGGACTTGTCCTCAAATTCTCAGCCATTGGATAACTTTCCCTGGAATTTTCGCCGGCAGCAGCTCCATAATCCTGACAAAGCCTATCTTCCACAGGTGAGTTTTCACGATTTTGACAAATTTCCGGCTGGGGCGGAGGACTGGGCGTGCCTACGGAAATTTCCGAAGGGGCGGGGCTTTCCATTGTCGTCCTGTTTTGCAACATTTCGCCGCCGCTGGACGTTATCAGAACGATTGGACGAAATTTTAAACGATTGTCTTGCTGGAAATTCATGAGAATCGTTACAACTGACACTAGATAGTAGACATAATCGGTAAAGGAGGATAAGAGAACGTGTTTTCTTGAACAAAACACCAAAAATCGACGACGACTTCAATCTGTCCTCATTTTAGAAACCACCAGAAACACTTAAAATTGTATAAACATCAATTTTTACGATATGCACATTTGTGTTGACACTTTTCAGAAGTCACTGATGAAGTCCACAAACACTTTGACAAAACAACAGATCATTCAGCAATTTTTCCAAGTTTTTTTGATTGAGCACAAACACTTTTTCGAAAACTAAGTTCAACAATTTTGTAATTTGATTTCTGTTCTTCACTTTTCTCTGGTGTTTTGCAACTGTTTTTCACTGATCGTAGTAAAATTACTATTACGTACTAAAATCACTGGTAAAGACCATAAGCACTTCTCCAAAACGTTAAATCATTAAATTCTTGACTTATTTTTAATTTCTTTTGGTATTTCTATGATTGTTTTTTGCTGATAAAGACAATAAGCAATTTTCCAAAACTCAAAAATTACTGATGAGGACCACAAACACTTTTCCAGAACGTTATATCCTTAAATTTCTAGTTCATCTTTAATTTTTGATCTAAAATTCAGCAGTTTTGTGGTTACCAACATTTCTATGATTTTTTTTCACTGATTAATAATAACAATATACACTTTTTCGAAACGTAAAATCACTCAAAAACTTGGTGTTGATGAAGTACCATTTTTTTGCTAGACAGCTTCAAAACCTTTCACGAAACTTTCACAATAGTTTCTACGATTTTTCCAAAATTTTAAATCACTGAAGATGTCCACAAACACTTTGTCGGAAAAGCATAGTCTTTCAGAAGCCCCAAAATGTCATTTTCTCCAATGAAAATTTTCAAAATTTTTATTAGTCATCATTCCTTTTATTAATTGTTATTTTATCAATTTAATTAAAACTTCATTCCGTCGCTGATGAATTTTATCGAAACGTTTTGGCGTCGGATTTTCCAACCAGCCGGTAATTAAAATTAATTAACCCGTCATTGACAACACTAATTAATTAATTGTAACTAATTGTGTTAATTAATTTAATAAAATTTTCTTGGAAACTAATAGTTACACCAACTAAAATCTGTGCACTAATTCCATAACCAACTAGGTTAATCACTTTAATTAATAAATGTAATTGATTGATTAATTACATTAACTAAGTACGTAATTGATTAAATTAAAATGTCACTTGTGTAAAATTTTACGTGCAAAATAATTTTGCACACTTCAGTTCTTTTAATTAATTAATTGCACTAATTAGTACCGACTAATTCATATTAATTGATCACACTTGTTATTATAATTTATTACATAAACCAATTAATTAGTTTATAGCTTTTATAGATAATAATTAATTACAATTAACACAATAACCAATTAATTAATTTGTATCAAGTTTAGAGTGCCAATTAATTAGTTACAACCACTTTTATCAAATTACACATTTCTATGTCCCATCACTAACACGCCCTGCGAGCTCGTTATTTTACACTAAACCACTAATTAATTAATCACCAATTAGCATTATTTTTTATTATTTTCGACGACAGCGCCACATGTTCACAGTGCGGTGGTCGGACGTATAATGAGTCAAACAACACATCGTGTGATTCCGAAACGATTCGAAAGGTGTGAGATGGGTGTTGACTTTCGACGACTGTCTCTTTCTAACCCACTACGAAGTTCGTATAGTGTTGTCTTTGTCTAGAGTGGGTTTGGCAACACTAGTAGGTTGCCGAGGATGATCGCTGAGGGCGTGGTCATGGTGGATGAGGTTTATAGGTAGATGTGGTGGGTTAGTGAGACGGAGTGTGATTTTGGGATGTAGCGTTAGTAGATTTTTGATGCAGAATGTAGTTTTTGGAGTTTATATATTTGTTTGCTACAAAACTAAATATTTGCAGCTTTGCAGATTAGCAATTTTATAGAATATTTTAGATTAGGCACTTGAATAATCAATAAATTAGATAGATATAATAAATAATGTACAGTTTTTGATGTAGGTAATAAAATATCACTAACTATAAACTACACATTTGCAATATATAATTGGTAATTCTAAGTCATCACATCTACGCGAAAAAAAAATTATATCAATATTTTTAACTAAAATTGTGATTAAAAGAGTATGTAAGTTTATTGAGATTATCTACATATTGCAAGGCTACAAGATGTCTGCAAGATTAGAAGTCTTGTACACCTACAACTACAACTTCTGCAAGTTTAGAAGAATACTGCAATATTGGATAAACCACAATAAATGTACTGCAAGCCTACATCTGCAAGTTTAGAATACATCTACAATATTGCATGTGCAAGACTGCAATGCCCTGCAAACTTTCTGGTAGTCTACACGACATCTGCAAGATCACAATACTTCTGTAAGACCACAAGACTTCTGTAAATCTACAAGACTTCTTATAAGTCTACAAAACTTCTGGCAAGTCTACCAAACTTCTGGCAAGTCTACCAAACTTCTGGCAAGTCTACCAAACTTCTGGCAAGTCTACCAAACTTCTGGCAAGTCTACCAAACTTCTGGCAAGTCTACCAAACTTCTGGCAAGTCTACCAAACTTCTGGCAAGTCTACCAAACTTCTGGCAAGTCTACCAAACTTCTGGCAAGTCTACCAAACTTCTGGCAAGTCTACCAAACTTCTGGCAAGTCTACCAAACTTCTGGCAAGTCTACCAAACTTCTGGCAAGTCTACCAAACTTCTGGCAAGTCTACCAAACTTCTGGCAAGTCTACCAAACTTCTGCAAGTCTAAAGAAACTTCTGCAAGTCTAAAGACCACAAGACTTCTGCAAGCCTACACAACTTCTGCAAGCCTACACAACTTCTGCAAGCCTACACAACTTCTGCAAGCCTACAAAACTTCTGCAAGCCTACAAAACTTTCCTGCATGTCAACAAAACTCTCCTGCAAGTCTACCAAACTCTCCTGCATGTCAACAAAACTCTACTGCATGCCAACAAAACTCTCCTGAATGTCAACAAAACTCTCCTGCATGTCAACAAAACTCTCCTGCTTGTCAACAAAACTCCTGCAAGTTCTAGGCTTTTGCAAGTCTACAAGACTTCCGCAAGTCTACAAAGCATATGTCCAAGACTTCACTAACATTTTTCAATAAAGGATATCTGGAAGTCTACAAGATCATAAAATTCTGCAAGAAGTTCTGCAAAAGAGTACAATAAGTGTACAATTTTTTTGGAGTCTGCAAACGTTTTAAAAGTCCTCAAGATATTCGTAAACAATAAAAACTTTTGCAAAACTGAAGTCTACAACGTTTTAATAATATTTTTGGATTCTACAACGATTCTGCAAGCATGTCAAACTTTTGCAAGTTCAAAAAAAATCTGCAATCCTACAAGACCTCCGCAAACCCATAAAAGGTCTTGTAGACTTGCAGAGAAGTCTACAAGACCTCTGCAAGTCTACAATACTTCCGAAAGCCTAGAAAATCACTGCAAGTCTTTGCAATATCGCAAAGTGTGCAAAACCACTTCAACTCTAAGAATCAAAAAGGTTCTGCAAAACCAACAAATTATTTTGGGCCTTATTTGAAGCAAATTCTAAGGCCTAATTTGATTAAACCCTAATGCCCTTTTGCAAATAAGAAAAATCGTTACTTTTTTGTACATATAAACCTCACACGCATATTTCTAAAATGTATTAGATTTTCCATATCTCAAATCCGGCCCTTTCATCTTTTAAAAAAATCAAAACCCAAAATCCTGCTCTGCAAAACACTTCCTTTTTGAACATATCAATCACAACCACGCCCAATTCGGAAAGAAAAAACTATCATCCCATTGGCCCCTCTCCCAAACACACCACTCCCTCCAGTCAACCGACGTCCAATCACGAACACTATACCCATTTTTTCAACCAATGGTAACAGACCTTGCGGAAAGTGGAAAGAAGAGATGGCATACGTTTCGATAACGCGTATTTGCTTTCTAATTAGTATGTGATTAATTTTTTTGTCGAAATTGTTTAATGATAAAGTGATTAGGAAGATTTTTTGAGCTTGTATAATTATGCGAATTTAGGTTATAATTGAGAAGTAATAATTTTATTATAAGTGTATATGTTTTAGTCACGGATTCAGGTCATCTTCAGGTGATAAAAAAGGAATAAAACATTTTTTAAACCAAAATTACTGGATTCTCTTTACTTTTTTCTACTAAACTCAAGCGTTTTTGCAGAAATACGCAAAACTAGTACGCATCATAATACGGCATTTTTTGTTTTTTTGAACTGTATTTTTGTTACGTAGTTATAGAATTTATTAAAACTCTCCTTTGATAATTCAGGTTGTTGGGTTATAATTTAACCCTTGTAGCTGTGGACTGCATTAAACACTGATTTGTTTGTATATTATGTATTTGTTGCAGTTCTAATTACAATCACTGATTTGTTACTAAGTTCTAATGAAAGAAGATATATTTATTTTTATTGGTTATTTACATGTTGTTAAGCGGACTTTGCTTTTTGAAGTGAAAAACTAGTTCAATTAAAACACTCCACTACCCCCTCTAGCAGGGGTAACAACCATTCCGTGTAAAGCTTAATGCCCTGAAGTTTGTCACCTTCATGGCCAATATAATAAAACGAAAAAACGTCTGGACAGAACAAAAATTGCTGTAATTTTGTTTTAAAAAATCGCATAAATATGTTCAAAGCGTCATTGTGTAGATAATTTTATGTAGATTTTCGGTTTTGGTAAACTTTTTCTTGTAAATCAAAGCGTTTAGGAAATATCTGCACAAATAGGTGAAACTAGTACGCACAACAATTCGGACGGAATAGTTGTATTTAATTAAACAAAGTGTTGTAAATTTGTTCCCAAGAATTATACAGACGTGTACGAAGCGTTATTTTTTAGAGAATTTTGTGTAGATTTTGGATTTTGGGAACAAGTTTTTGATAAATCCAAGCGTTTTTGCAATATTT